TGCTCATTTGATATGCCCCACCCCCACCCCCCAGCTGTTTAGAGTTCTGTCATTAAATAGATTAATGTTCTATCCAGCTGAGTAAGAAAACTGACAGACCAGATTGCGGTCTGAACTCCCTTTCAGAAATGCTGCCATCGTGTGGCACTTTGGAGTCATGACCGGAAGAGTCCTGGGGTGGGTCATATAGTTCATCTCAAGATGGCTGGGCTCCAGCAAAATCTATTCCTATAACTCTCTAAGTTCATATTAAATCACTTCCGTGGGCACAGAGTAAACCATAGTGAATCCTGTGGAAATCTTGTTGTTTTTAGAATTTGTGAACTTCCCCCCACTAAATTGACAACATGACAAACTTATGTGGGTAATGTGTTTAAAGAGAAAAAAACACAGTTTTTAAAAGCAGAAATAAGAAGCCTGTTTTGCAACTTTATAAGCTGTGTGTCTTATATTTTAGAGATACCTGCCACCTGAATTATTAAAATGTGTGCTTAGAACCCACAAATCAATATCAATTCATTTGGAATGCATGCAATTTAAGAGATATTTTCCCCAAAATGTCCTAAAATCTATGGGTTAGTATACTACTAACACTGCAAGAAATTAATCAATAATTATATTAAAAGCAATATTTGGTAAATAGAGGCTGACACCTTAGATAGAACTAATAATAAACGGGGCCATTTATCTTTAAGCTCACTTCATACACAGATCTTACAATGGCGATGTGAGGTAAATGAGTAGCAGAATCTTCACTTAACAACTGAGAAAGGTAGATGAAGAAGTTAAGTACAAAATCTCAAGACAACACTAAATATTTAAAATGGGCTCAGAGCTCTGCTACCTCTAATTTCTGTTCCAGTATTCAAACTTCATGTGCAATTTTCTTTCGTTCAAACACCTTTTAAATACCCAGTAAAGTTTTTTGTAAATATAGATTTTTTTTTTACAATTTCTTATTAAGTAATCGACTTTATATATTCTGGAGAAAAATTAGGAAAAGATGATTCAGAAATTTAATCCATTCCTTTAGAAGTGTATAAATTACACAATTGATGTACACAGTTTAAAAATCTTAACATGTGGCCTTATTCCAAATAACCTGTTCCATTTAAAGACATTGCAAATGATGGGGACCTGTTCCTCCTAATTTTCAGTGAGTTAACACACACACCATGCTTAAAATACACATATAATATGTGCCAATTCATTTTCCACATACTAATTCATTTAACCTCTTAAAAACCCCATGAACAAGTAACAGTACGTGCATGTGACAGATGAGAAAACAGGTGTATGTCTGCTAAGTGATTTGCCCAAGGTCACACAGCTCCTTACTGGCAGAGTGAAATTCAAAGCCACTCACTTTCTGGCTCCCAAAGCAGCATTCTCAAGCAGCCACGCTGTGCTGTCAGAAACCACTTCACTTCTGCAGCATCTAAAGAAAATTACCATGCTTTCATTTTGTATAGCAAGTTATCAAATGAATCGCCTCCAAACTATTCCAACAGTGCGACAAAAATCTGTGTCCTTGAAAGGTCTTTGTTAAGTCCAGCTTCATGGGTATGAAGCTAGATTTTAATGTTACTAATGCTGTTTGTCTGAATGACAAGCTGCTGTATACTTGAAATTACAAAACCAGGCTTGAGTCGTAAAGGATGGCGGGAGGGTCTCTGAGCTCTTTGTACACCTGAACAATAGCCGTGTAGCTCTTAAGTAAGTGTAACTGTAAGGCAAATTTAGTTGTATGCATTACCTAATCTGTTATGTAAACTGGAAGAAACAAACCCATTCTTTTTAATTTTATTGAGGACTTATTTGTATTACTATTTTTTCTTCTAATTCAGAAATGATAAAGTCTTTGTAAGAACTAGTCTTCCCCCCACCTTTTTTAATGGGACCCTTAGGACCCTTAGGGACCCTTTCATGATGCTGAATGCCATTCCCATAAAAAAAAAAGCTAGTTAATATTGTAAATAAGTAATGTTTTAACTCGTGTGTGTGTGTGTGTGTGTGTGTGTGTGTGTGTGTGTTAACCACAAAACCAGAGAGGGAAGTGTGGGAGCAAGTGGGTTGGGCAGTGGCAAAAACACCTCATGACACATCTCTCCGCCTCCCTGTGTTGGTGGGGAATGTCTGCAGCAGCATTTAAATTCTGGCAGGTCCTGGTTGTCAGCAGCAAGAGAGAAGGCAAGGAGAGCAGCACCATCTGGTACCAGACTCTCTTCTCAGGTCAGTGACAGTCTTCTCAGCCCGCCGCAGACCAAGGTAAGCCTGCAGTTTACTATTTTGCTGTTGTCCTATGGCATTCAGTTTCAATTCATGGAGAAGGTCAAGTTCTAAGGAAAGGAGTTTAACTGGAATGCTGCTGATTAGGTTTAAATGGTTCTAGTTTTTAGTAAGCATGCCAGAATACATTACAGATCTCCGAGGATAGGTGACCAGCTATTCTGAAAGTCAGTCAAATATAAAACTTAACGTTCCTTTCACTGAGCCCTCAGAAGGACTGAGACTACTTCTTGCAATAAAAAAAAAAAGGAAAATTCTGTGCTCCTGTGGAATGATTATACCTATTTCATTTTAAATGGAGAATGATTATGAAGGCATTTAAAAGAAAAATGATCTTTAGTGTTAATGTAAGTCAATGATAGTACAATTTAAAAAATTAGTTGAACTTATCCTACTTTCAAGAAAAAAAACCCTTTCTAAATATTTTACTTCTGTATTTAGCTGTTAAAATTTTCACCAAAATATCTGTATGACATTATGCAGACTTATTATCACAAGTATAAAAGTTGACTGTTTTCAGTGTTTCCTTTTTTGTTTCAAATTCTAGAATAACTTATTTAAATAACTAACTTGAGAGATAGCTTCATATCACCTAAAGTAGCACCTTTTTAATAATTGAAGTTAAAAATCATGTTTGAAATGCATGCTGAAAAAATGGAGACAGCAAATTTCTTTCATGGTTTTATCTTCTCTTTCTCTTTGTGTTTTTATTCTCTGAAAAGTAAATATTTCCACAATAGCTTATTATTTTAATTAAACTACTGTTGAGCTGTGTTTAGATTTAGATAGCTGGCCATAACAGCTAATAATGGTATAATCTCTGAAACTCTATATTTAAAAGGTGAATATAAAGAGACTTGTGAAATTCCCCGCTCCCTTGCCTAATAGTGAAAGATGGAGAATAAGGGTGGCATTATAAATATTAACTCAAAGGACCATAATGTTAAAAAGAAAAGTGTTCTCTAGGAAATAGAAAATATTCTCCAGAAAAATATATTTTATTTGTGATTATTTTGTAATGCAGTAGCATAAAAAGGTATCACTGTTTTAGCCTGTGATCAAATATTCATTACAGATTTTTTTGCAGGAAAAATCCCAACCATGAGAATTGCAGTGGTTTGCTTCTGCCTCTTAGGCATCGCCTACACCCTTCCAGTGAGTACAACAAAATCTTAAAGAAAGTTCCTCAAAATAAATAAATTGTATGCTCTTATGTGCTGGGAACACATTCACATTGTAATCTTTCTTCATCTTTTCTGTTTCAAAGGTTAAACATATCGATTCCGGCAGCTCTGAGGAAAAGCAGGTAAGCATCTTCTAGGTTCATCATACAATTAAGTTATTTACCCAACTGCTTCAGGAAGCACTACACATATATTTGTTGCAATTTTACTTGTTTTTACAGTCAAGCCTGTTAATTTTTAAGTATTTATTGACTTCCTGCTTTCATTCTAGGCCAGTACCAAGCACAGTATAGTTTTTAATTAAATATAAGCTCCAAACACCAAACTAGATTTTTTTTCTATAATAAAATAATGCTCTAGGCCATTACTTATGTAAACTGAGTTCTGTGAAGTTGTGAGACTTTCTTTCCATGAGTCAATATACTGTTCTAGAAGTAGAAAATTCTATCCTTTGCTTTACTTAGTGGAAGGTTGTTTAAAATTCATCTCACATATTGGACAGTTTATATGAATGTAATATTTACAATATCTCCTAAGATTTTTGCTAAGAAGCCCATTATAAAAAGAAAGCCTATTTATGCTGTTTGCATCTATTGTGCTTGTCAGCTGACTTTAGATCACATTTGTCTAACCAAGCATCAGCCCAAATCAAACTCTTTATTATAATGATTTGACCAGCACCATAGATGTACCTGCTCCTCCACAATAGATGAAACTGTGCCAGCCAGATAACAAATGGGCATTGTCCCGAGGAGCTTGGACAAAAAGGCACAGAGTTCAATTCAGAGGAACAGAATAAAGGCCAATATAGAGTTGCCCAGAGTCACTGTAATTAGATTGCTTAATAAAGACACCAGGGAAGGTATTGTTGTGTGTGGTTGGGTGTGCAAGTGTGTGTGGGTGTGTCTGTTTTCCAACTGATTTAAGAACACAAGTATTGAATCACAATAATAAGCCAGAAAAATAAACATTGTTAGAGAAGATAGAGGTCATACTATTTGAAGCAAGAATTAGTGTCTTTTTGATAGGAGGGAAAAAAAAATGGCACATGAAGCCATGGCAGTATAAGTTATCAAATAATCATTAAGAGATAAGTGAAGAGCTCAATCTTTTAAAATCCCAGATATTTGGTAGGAAATATGGGAAGTCTATAAGGAGACACCTCTGAAGATGAACACTGGTTATCTGTGAGTGTTATGATTATTGGGTGGGTTTTAGCCTATTTATTTTGCTTAGCTTTATTTTCTTCATTTTATATTTTTAAGTTATAAATTTAGCCTATAAATACATTCTCCCTGAGCCTCTATTACATGGATCATCAGGATGTATATAATATAATAATATAATATACCATAATATACTACAATACATAGTAAATATTTATTATAATATAATAAATATAAATTATAATATATTTCTATGTAATACTTATATATTTTTAAAGAAAACGGGGGGGAAACTTTGAACTCATCTAGGCCAGGAGCTTTTTGTAACTTTTTTAGGCAAGGAACCCCTTCTTTCAGCAAAAACTTTCAGAGAAGCCCAATCTGAAGCTGCTCAGGTTACAGCCAGCCATTGGAGAAATACAAAGTGATGACTGGTTTCCTCCCTCCTCCTCTCCCCCAATCCCCCAAACATATTGGTGGCTGTGAAGGAACTCTATGGAACCCTCAGCGTTCTCATTCTCAATGACAGGGATGTGAGGTGATTAGCCATGGGTGACACAGCCCATCAGATGACACACATTCAGAGCAATTTCCACTCCTCTGTACTAGCAGATTATATAGTCATTTTCCAGATAAATAACTTGTCTAAAAGAAAGGTCACTCCATTCATGTCTTTGGTACCTTAGAGCAATAAAACTTTTGTGCAGCGATGTTAATATTATATTTTTGCACCATCCACTAAGATAACCACTAGATACATGTGGCTATTAAACATTCAAAATGTAGCCAGAGCAACTGAGAAACTGAATTTTTAAATTATATTTCATTTTAATTAACTTAAATTTAAATAGTCAAATGTTATGTGACTAGAAGATACCACACTGGACAGCACAGGCTTAGAAAGTTTCTCTTCGTTCCACAGGGAGAGGAAACAATGGAGATCAACACCAGTTAAGGGCATCTCTGCTTTAGATGTGCTTTATGTGAGAGGAAATTTCAGCTGGCAAACACAGGACAGGAAAGCTCAGTGTTAATATGAAAGTAAAGAGCCAGTTTATCTGGATTTGAACCCTGGCTCTCAACTGCACTGTGACTGAGTTTCTCCTGATCTGCAAAATGGAAACAATAATGATACCTATCTCATAGGGGGTTGAGAAGATTAAATGAATGAATATATGTAAATCACTTTGAAAGGGTGCTTAGCCCACAGTAAGTGGGCTAAGAGTTCATTAAATGAATCTGCCAGAAAAAATAAGTTAGAAAAGGAGTATCAAAGGCTCTGGTTGACTGTGTACATGCATATTATGCTTATCCATCAGTATTGGTGAAGTATAATTGTTTTTTCAGCTTGTCACTTAGATATCTCTACGTTACCTTTTTTAAAAAATAATGACAAATATGCAACCTTTTTTGTAGCTTTACCAGAAATACCCAGATGCTGTAGCCACATGGCTGAAGCCTGACCCATCTCAGAAGCAGAATCTCCTAGCACCACAGGTATTTTTAATTAATTTAAAAAATTAAATTTCTTGCAATTAAAGAGCAAAAACATCAAAACAAACAAACAAACAAAAAAACAATGCTATCAACCAGGCCATTTGGGCTGGGTAGGTAGATCCTTCCTGCCTGTTGGTAAATGTGAGCTTAGGACACCAATTGATCTGCCATGTTCACTTCTTCCCCTCTAAGTCATTCACTAGCGAGGCTAAAAAAATAAGACATGCTTTGGGTGGAAAAGGCTAATTTTCAAATAAAAAAGTTAAGCATACAAGATATACACTGATCTGTGCCTTTCCTTCTTCAGAATGCTGTGTCCTCTGAAGAAACCGATGACTTAAAACAAGAGGTGAGTTCTCATTTAGAATCAGAGGCCCGCCTTGCCCGCCATGCCCTGGAGAGACAAAGAAGCCACTCTTGCTTCTAATAACATTGCCTGGGTTCAATTCTGACAAAAGTCCATTAGCAAATTTTCCAGTAAATTGCCAGTCTAAAACTTGCTCAGCAATAAAACATGTATTTACTAAATGTCAGAAATACCAGATTTCTTCAGATAAATTTAGTGTGGCCAGAAATGTTTACTAATGTCTATTATTTGAAATATTAAGCCTCTTGCAATTGATTTAAGGTATTTTATAGATATCTAATATCTGATAAGCATCTAATTAATACCTATGAAACCCAAGATTGTGCCTCTAGGAACGTTTCTGTTTCCTAACATAATGGTTTATTTGATAACAATTATTAGGGCTAGTAATTAGGACTTTTTATTAGGACTATTAATATTAGGATTTTTTATTAGAACTATTAATATATTTGCTAAGCAAAGAGATAAGTTACATTTGCTTTCCTTAAGATTCTTTTTGCATATACTTAAAATCGCTTATAAGGAAAGTTAGATAAAGGGCCCAGTATACTTGCTAATCGGGAAGTTTAATAAACATTTACTGGTTAAGTCAATTGACAGATATGCTGCACTTTATACACATGCATAACAAAGTCACCTTTTGATTATTCGTGCTAATAGGGAGGTGGTTTTAGGTTTTAGTCATGCATTAACATACGGATGTTCAGATCTCCTGAGAATTCTCATTTCACATAGAAAAGTCATCTCACAATTATGTGTCTGTATTTATTGCATCAATGAAGTTGGCATATTATGTCTAATGTGAAAAGGAAAAACAAAAGTTATTGATACAAATATTATACTCACATATTTGACTTGAAAATATCTAGGAAAATAATTTCTTATGGGAAAACAAACAAAAAAAATACCTCAGATTATGATTCCATTTATCTTTGTGTTAAAAGAGAAGTTGGAAGATGCTCACTTGAGCTCCTGAAAGCCATGGAGTGCATTGTTGTGGATACCAAGATTCTGAAACTAAATAAAAGATAGTAAAAGAATAAACAAACATACAAAAAAAACCTAATGCACTGGAAAGGCTAAGGGAAAATAAAAACACTTACGCTGATTTTTCTCACCATCTTGATTTCAGACCCTCCCAAGTGCGTCCCATGAAAGCCATGACCTCACAGATGACATGGATGATGACGATGACCATGTGGACAGCCAGGACTCCACTGACTCAACCGACTCCGATGATGCTGATCATCCTGATGACCCTGACAATTCTGATGAGTCTCACCATTCTGATGAATCTGACGAACTGGTCACTGATTTTCCCACTGACCTTCCAGGGACCCCAATTGTCACTCCAGCTCCCCCCACAAGAGACACATATAATGGCCGAGGGGACAGTGTGGCTTATGGACTGAGGTCAAAATCTAAGAAGTTCCACAGATCTGCAATCCAGGTAAAAACAACATGCTCATCAGAGGATTATGATTAGAGCCCAATTCTCGAAACCAGGGTTTGTATATTCATTGATTCATTCATTCAGCAAGCAAGCAAGCAAGCATTACTATTTATGACCATTGAATACAAAACCTTTTTCCACTTGGTGGTTTTTTATGTTTAAGTCCACATAATTTCTCTTTAATTTCATCTCCCAATCACAATGCTATTTTTCCAAATCCTGACTATAAAACATTTATTCTATTCACTTTTTTTTTTTAGATTAAAAGAGACTTTGGAAAACAGCAATTATTTTCACAATACAGTGGTCACATTTTGAAGTTAAATACCTAAGAGGAATGGTGGAGTTGCAAATTACACTGAATCTATAGTCAAAAGATCTGGATTTGATACATAGCCTGGCCATGTACTATTCACTCTACTTTTTAACTTTCAGTGCACTTTTCCCTCATATAAAACACAGATAATGAGACCTACCTCATAGGTTTCATCACATATATATTTGATGTACCTATTACACTAAAGGAGATGACATATGAAAGGTGAAAAACATAGTAACATGCTAGTATCACGTTTTATTTCAGCCAAATTTAGACAGTTTGCAGTATAAATTGGTCTAAATGTTCGAAAGCAGAAAAGAATGACAGTGTTCCCATCCCTGGCTGTCATTTAATTCTTCTTCCTTTTGTGCTCTGATTCAGTATCCTGATGCTACAGAGGAGGACCTCACGTCACATATGGAAAGCGAGGAGATGGATGATGCACACAAAGCCGTCCTTGTTGCCCAGGGCCTGCAAGTGGCCTCTGACTGGGACAGCCATGGGAAGGACAGTCAGGAAACAAGCCAGCTGGATGACCACAGTGTGGAAACCCTCAGCCGCAAGCTTTCCAAAGAATATAAGCTGAAGGCAAATGATGAGAGCCATGAGCATCCTGATGTAATTGATAGTCAGGAAAGTTCCAAAGTCAGCCATGAATTCCACAGCCAAGAATTTCATAGCCATGAAGATAAGCTAGTCCCAGACCCTAAGAGTCAGGAACAAGATAAACACCTGAAATTTCGCATTTCTCATGAATTAGAAAGTGCATCATCTGAAGTCAATTAAAAAAAGAAAAATACAGTTTCTTGCTTTTAGTTAAAAGGAACAAATATAGTGGGTGGGAGAGAACATAAAATGCTTATATCTCAGCTTTGTTGGTGAATGTATATGTGTGTGGTTCTGGAAATAGATAACGTTTTTGATCCATAGTTTAGTGTGTGGCTTCATGATAACACCCTTGTAAACGAAAAGTTTCAGGGTTTAGTCTGTGTTCTTTCCATAGAAGAAATGCAAGCTATCACTGCATTTTAATGTTTGCTATTCTTTTATGAAGAACAATTTATGTAGAAGCAAACAAAATACTTTTACACACTTGTAAGAGAGAATATAAAATTTTATGTCACTATCTTTTGTTTTTCAAATTAGTGTACATTTTGTTGTGATTATTTTTGCGTGAATAAATCTTATATCTGGAATGTAATGAGAGTCTTTTGCTTTTCTTATTTTGGTTGTGTCAATTGCTTTTCTTATTTTGTTTCCCACAGTTGCCCAATAATCGACAACCGATAGAACCATTTTAATGAATGAACTGGACTTAGTAGAGAGAAACCTAGGAACTGCTGTATCAACTGTACAGTTTCTGGCTGCACTAAAGTTCCTAGTCAAGGAAACGGGAGTGCAGTGGGGGTTGATATTCAGCCAGAAATTTTCTAACCATGCAGGTCTCTGTAGTTTGCTTCCACCCAGTGGGAGCACACTTTTCTAATTTTCACAAAGCTTATATAAAGGTAACAAAAGCCTAGATGCAATCACAAATCAATTTTTTTATTAATTTGTTCAGTAAATGTATTGCTTTCTTATCCTGGGATGAAAACTTTGGTAGGTCCCATAGCTATTCTGGTTACTCATAGAAAATAAGCAAATAGTCCCTTTGTATTGGGGAAATTTTTAATGAAGTTTTAGGTAATAATCAAAATGTTCAATTTCATTCAAAACTAAAAGTTCTGGAAATCTAAAATGAAGAAAGTGTCTTTATTTCCTTGTCTTGATCCTCTGGTATTTCTAAAACTAGAATTCCATGTGGGACTTTTAATTTTTTCTATTAGCTCTTGGGACAAAAGAGGGAAAATTTAAATTGCTGAATTTCTAAAAAAAAAAAGAATCATAATGAAAACACAAAATCAAGAGTATAGTTAAACCAGTGATCATAGAAAATTCATAGCCTTAATTCTTGCAGCAAAAACAACAACAAAATAAATAAAAGATTGAAAATAAATAAAGTTCCCATCTTAAAAATTAGAAGAGCAACAAGGTAAAGCAAAAGAAAGTATAAGGTAGGAAATAATAAAGTTAAAAGCAAAAAGAATGAGATAGAGAACAGAAAAATAGAAACTGATAAATCAAAATGCTAGTTCTTTGTAAAAAAAAAATCAACACAATAGATAAACCACTAACTAACCCAATAAAGGAAAAAAAGTAGAAAACATAAATAAGAACTAAAAAACAAGAAGATAACCAATGAAACTGAGGAAATTTTAAAACCTGAAAGATGCTACTTTGCACAACTCAATACAAAACCAATGAAAAACTTAGATGAATTGGACTTTTTTTCTAGGAAAATACAGTTTACCAAAATTGACCTTGCCATACATGGAAAATATAAATAAATTTATATAAAGGCAAGAGAAAATGTTATCAAAGAACTAACTATAGAAACTAGACTCAAATGATTTTATAGGAAAGTCTATTAAATCTTCAAAGACCAGATAATCCCAATACCATATAAATTGTAGCAGAGATAGGAAACTCTCAAATGATCTTTATGAAACGAGTATAGCTTTGACACTCAAACCTGGTAAAGATTGCAAATACATACACACACATACACACACACACACACACACACACACACACACACCAAATAAACAAAACAAAACAAAAACTCTCTAAACCATTCTCAGTCATGACTAGCAATGGAAAAATCCTAAATAAAATGCCAGCAAACAGAATCTAAAATCAAGTTTAAAGAATGCAATATAATCTTAGGGGGTTTATTTTGGTTCAATTCAGTTTTAATATTAGTAAATTCATTTCTTATAACTCATCATACAGTTAGATCTAAGGAGAAAGATGTCCTGTGATTAGATCTATAGATTTTGTTTTAGTTAGCTATTAGTGTGAAAATGATGACCCAATATCTCAGTGGCTTATAACCTCAAATATTTTTCTTGTTTTCACTCAACAGTCTGTGGGTTGGCAGGGGTGGTTCCGCTTCAGGCTATAGGATGGATTCAGGTCTGCTCTGTATGTTCTCTGTCTGGGATCAGCAACTACCTGGGCCCATCTTTCTGATGGCAGAGGCAGAAACACACGAGGAATGAGCAGAAATATGATACTTGGGGCTCAGAATTGACACACTGCCACTTTTGATCAAATTCCATTGTTAAAAGCAAATCACAGGGTCAAACCCAATATCAATGTGCAGGTAAAGTATACTCCCCACACAGTGGATCGTGACAGACGAAGGGAAAAAGGAAAGAATTCCGAACAAATAATAAAATGTAACACAGCCTTTGAAAAATTTCAACAGTCATTCTTTAAGTTCATAAAAATAATATAAAAATTAAGGGATACTTCCTTAGCATGATGAAATATTTTATACCTCAGCTTGAAAACTAGTATCACACTTAATGGAGAGGCATTAAAGGCACTCCCATTAAGATCAAGGGCAAAGAAAGGACTTATGTCCTCTATCTCCACTAATATATAGCCTAGTACTGGATATATACGCTAATAATCATAAGCATTTAGATATATAAGAATTGAGAAAGAATTAAATTACACATATATGTATATTATGCAATACTACACCTAGAAAACAGAAAATCAGTACTAAAAATAACTACCAAGTTTTGTAAGGTAGCATGATATAAAAGTTACCTAAAAACATATATACAGGGCCAGCTGAGTGGCTCATTGGTTAAGAGTTGGCTTAGGAGCACAAGCTCTGAGCAGCAGGGCCATTGGTTCGGATCCCACATGGGCCAGTGACACTGTGTCCTCTACAGCTAAGATGTTGAACAACAGCTTGACCTGGAGCTGGGCTGCCATGAGTCGCCAGCGTAGACTGCAACCCCTGTTGCAGTGGGCTGCTGTGAGTTACCATGAGTGGCCGGCAGCCAGCGTGAGCTTCCGTGAGCTGCCATGAAATGGCCAGCGACCGATCTGACTCAACTGGGAAGAGTGCATTGATCACAATATCAACATGGACCAGTGAATTGACGTCCTCCACAACTAGACTTAAAAACAAAAGGACAGCAACTTGTCTGTTCCCCTTCCTTCCCCTATTCCCTAGTGCTGTTCCCTCCCCCAATTCCCCAATAAAATCTTAAAAACAAACAAAAACATATATACAAAAAATACAAACAATAACTGTTTAAAAGATATAATTTCATTTAATATAGAAACCAAAAAGATAAAATACTTAACAGAAAATGTGCCAAAACTCTATTGGAAAAATCTGTGAAACACTCCTGTGTTTTTTTCATATGGGACAATTCAACACCGTAAAAATGTCAATGTTCCCCCAAATAATATATAAATGTAATGTGATTCAAATTCAAATAAAACTTTTTTCCTAGAGCTATGCAAGCTAATTCTAAAGTTCATAAAAAAAAATAAACATACAATAATATGAAGGAAAAACCTGGAAAATATGAGCAACAAGGGAGGACTAGCCCTAACAAATAGTACATCAGACTATAAAAGCCTCTCTAGTAAAAATACTGTGAAACTGGCAAACGTATAGAGAGACTGGAAGAGAATATTAAGTCCAGGAATAGACCCAAGTACATATGGGATTGCTATGTGACATGTGAGATCACTTGGGAAAAGATGGACTTTTAAATAAATAATGCTGAGTGACTGGATATCCACTTGGAAAAAGATAAAATTGGATCCATACCTCTCACCACACATCAAAATAATCTCCAAATAAACCAGAGGTATAAATTTAAAAGAAAACCACAAAAATATTAGACAAATACATGAGGTAGTTAATCTGGGTGTGGGAAATATGTTTTAATGAGGAGACTCAACCCCATATTACCTGCTTTAGACTAAAATGTTTGTGTCCCCCCAAAATTCATATGTTGAAACCTAATGCCCAATTGGAGGGTATTTGGAGTTGGGAACCTTTGAGAATTGATTAGGTCATGAGGGTGGAGTCCTTATGAATAGGATTAGTGTCCTTATAAAAGAGGTCCCTAGAGGTCCGCAGCCCCTTCCACCATGGGAGTACACAGTAAGAAGATGGTCATCTGTAAACAAAAAGCAGGCCCTCACCAGACACCAAATCTACTGATGTCTTAATCTTGGACTTCCCAGCCTCCAGAACTGCGAGAAGTAAATGCTTCTTGTTTCTAAAGCACCCAGTCTTTTGGCATTTGTCTTATAGTATCTAAAACAGACTAAGATACCACCATCCTTGTAGTCATCATTAGTCAAGAGCAGCGGCCCCTTGGGCTCCCATGCACTTACTTCAATTGACACTTCATCACAACCAACCGCAGGTAACAGCTTTATTAGCTGTGTTGTCCCAGCATGCCAAAGAACACGAGTATCCCATTTCCCTTTGGCAAGCGGCTCAGTACTATGCTCAACTCCAAGGGCGTGACCAAGTTAATCCAGAAATTGTACCATTCAAAGACCACTCCCTGTACTCCATCAGTCAGGGTTGTTAGAAGACAGGAAACACACCAGTAATTTGAATAGGGAAAATTTAACATAAAGAATTATCAACTAGAAACTGGGGGTAAACCAGAGGAGATAAAAGGGAACCTTAAAAATATCACTGGGCTGACAGTACCTAATCACGAACAATTTGGAAAAAGGGGCCCTCTCCCCAAAGCTAAAACTCCAACTTCCTTAGAGGGGGTGTAGCTGCAGCCCAGAGGAGGGCAGAGACATTTGCTCTGTTACCCTGGGCGGGAGCTGGTCCATAGCTGGTGGGTTGAAGTTGGCAAACAGGTCACTTCCCACTAGAGTGCCAATAGACTGCGTTTGGCAAGTAGGAAACCGTGGGCCATGATTGCTGAGCAGGAAACTGCTTGTCTGGGGGCCAGCAAAACAAGCTGGACAGTTAGCATCACTCGTGTTCTGCCTGCACGTCACTGTCAGCTGCTCCCTAGGAGAACAAGAAGAGAGGACACACACCAGCTCCTGAAGCCTGTGTCCTGCAGTGTCCCTCCGCTGCCCTCTACTGACAAAGCTTGCTGAGTGCCAGCTGGCAAAGGAAGCGTATTTACAAGGTCCAACTCCAGTATCACAAAGCAGGGCAGACACAATGTATTCCGAGCAGAACAGCAGTAAAGTGATAGCTGTCACAGGCTCTAGGAAAAAGGATGATTCCTGTTCTTGGACGAAATAAGTAAAATATGAGCCCAGGAAATCTCTTTAATGATAGAATGCAAGGAAGCACTC